CGTCCTCGAGGACTGGCTGGTCCGGGGCCTGGGCGCCCGCTGCTGCGGTGGACGGCGGCCACGAGGCGGGGAAGCTTGCCTGTTCCAACTCGCTCCATGACACCTAAACGCTCCCTGGTGTTTCATTCTGAAGACTATCAGGAGTGATTCGGCACTGTGTTCCTCCAAGGTAAATCGAGTGCTCTTTCTTGTGATTTCATTGGAATAACACCTTGTAAACGAAGGGCTGGATGAACCTTCTGGAAACAGAGCTGAGAAGAGTGAGTGAGCCTGTCCCTGGGAATGTGCGAGCACTCTTCACTGCCAGAGTGAAGCTTCTGCGTGGCTCTCAGGGGCTGGTGAGGGGAGCGGGTCTAGGGAGCCCAGAGGGCCACTCTCATGCGTGTGTGCATGTGTGAGACCACGCCCTGGCCAAAAGGATTGTCTGTTTCTTGGGCCATTGACACAGCGATTTAGGAACCTGGGCACATTAAGCCACACCCAGAAGTTCAGGTTGAGCAATAAGCAGCAACAGCGAGTCTCAGAAACCAGACAGATTACTCTGTAGTTCTGAGGTTTCTCACCCTTGTGTTCTCCCCTGCGCCGTCAGAATTGTCATACAGTTTAATCAGTATGATGTTTTGAGAATCCCAAATGAAGGGAGAAAAGTAAAATTAGAAATGATTTCTAAGTTTTGTTCCTATTTTTATCCACGATTGCATTTCTTATCGAACTCATTTCCTTGGTAAAAGTTACCACTTTTTCAGAATACAATTTTTGGGTCTAAATGAGCTACACTGGATATGAGATACACCCCAGAAATAAGTTATATTTAGGAAGCAAATATTATTCTGACGCTCGGCTTATGAATTCTTCATCTGACATGGTAGGCATAGGTAACTCCTACTTTAAAACTATGTAATTCCTGAATTTCTCAAATAAATACATTCATGGTGAAATGCCTAATTTAAATTTCTAATCCTAAATTCAGGAACCAGTTGAATGACCATTTATTTTCTATAGCATTTTAAAAATCAAGTCTTCTTTTCACTTCCTTGTAGTTTGTTAGAACATAAAATCTTAGAAATGGAGGGAAAGCACAAGGAAGAGTTGGATACCTTAAAAGAGGAGAGAGAGAACCTGCAAGGCCTGGTTTCCCGCCAGTCATACATAATCCAGGAGCTGGAGAAGCAGCTGAGCAGAGCGACCAGCAACAACAGCTTGCTTCAGAAGCAGCAGCTGGAGCTCATGGACACGGTACACAGCCTCGTCAACCTGTGCACCAAAGACGGTGGTAAGAACTTCTTCCTCAGTTTGATTGTATAAACACTTTGTTTCCTACGAGCAAGTAGAGATTCAATACAAGTGTGTTGTGTTAGGCAGTCATGAACTCGCCGTTGTCTTTATTTAGAGATCAGATACGTTTCATGGGGATGTGTTTGGGTGTGAAGTTGGCCAATGAGATTGTGACCATCCACCCTGATATGTCAGCTTCACTGGACTGAGGGACACCTAGCAGATCAGTGACGTGCTCCTGCCTGTGTCAGCAGGGTCAGGGAGGTATAGCCTTGGGATCTGTACCTGTCCCTTGCCTGGTCATCTCCTCCCTGGCACTGGTACCTGCTCTGCTCCCTGGCCACCATGAATTTAGCACCTTTGCTCCACCAGGCCCTTCTTCCATGATGCCTTAGAGCTAGCCGACCATGGGCGGAATCCCTGAAAGCATGAGCCAAATTAAAGCTGTCCTCGTTGAGCTGTGAGTGTCTGCTGTTGTGTCTCAGGGGCAGGAAGGCTGAGCAGGGAACAGTGCCAGAGAGGCCACACATCACTCCCTAGGTCAAGTCTCTACCGCACACCCTGACACACGCAGGGGCACACTGCTGATCTCTGGTGTCTTTTAACCAGAGGAAGCTGACATGTGAGAATTAAAGTCCTAACAGCCTTCTTTCTTTCACTGATTGCTGTGTAAAAGCAGCAGGTGAACTTTGTTCTTAGATGTGTTCATGAGTTTGGTGACAAATGCATGCTTCTAACTTCTCAGAGAATGTATTTGTGAATTTGTGAATCCACATTATCTGAGATTCCTACTTTTCTTTTATTCTTGGTCTATATAATCTTAGATAAATCTATTTCACTGTCCTGAATAAATGTTTGATATTACAGTGTTAGACTCTTAACTATAGGACAGAAATTAGCCAATGCTGAAGACTAGTTCAGAGGAACAGGGACAATTTCTCGTTTTACAACTACTGTGAATTGGTGCAGTGTTGCTTACAAAGAAAAGGTGATAGGAGTCCGGATGATTATGACTGTTACTAGAAGTATTTACTATGATCCTTGTCCTTAGTTCTGCTCAGAGAACGATTAACCAAGGTATCAAGGCGTACTTATTTGGGGATGCCTTGGTGACGGTGGAAATCGCACATGGTTGCTCTCGCTGAATGTGGGGCCCTGCAGGTGTTGGACCTATCGGCCAGCTCCGCCTCCCAGAGGCCGGCCCTCCGCCTGCCACCCCAGGAGCATGAAGGGGGCACCTCACCCACCGCCTTTTCTAGCACAGCCTCTGCACAGGCACGCTTCAGCCAGCCTCTCTCTGGGTGAAGACAGAGCTGCAAGGGGCGGAGGGAAACAGGGCAGCTCACCCCAGAACCTTACCGTCTGTCACCCGCAGCTGCACAGGCGCAAGGCTCCTTGGGTTGAAGCCGCCCTGGAGCCACGTGAGGGCGCGCAGGGCTTCCCTGTGTAGCTAGGAGTGTGAGGCCCGCCCCGCACTAAGGTCTGGCTTTAAAGACACTTCCCTTTTCCCTGCGGCGCCCCTTACCTCGGGCGGTGTCTCCGCTCACCAGTCTGAGCAGGCCTATTTATGTATACGTCCCCAGGCGCCCCTCGGTTCTTCTCAGCCATGTGACCCTGAGGGGGAAATCCTGCTGACTGCGGACACTGCCAAGCGCCTACTGGAGTCCCCTGAAAGGAGAGCTCGGTGGGGCTTTGCCAGGGAATTTTAATGGCGCTCGTGAGGATTTGGAAATGAAGTACTAATATGAGACATATCTATCCTCACATCGAGGCAGATGTGTTTGGGGCAAGATTGGAAACACTTTCTCGTCTTCCTGAGAGCGACCGACGGCCCGTGGGTGGTAGGGGTGTCCAGCCCTGGTGAGCCTCCCAGGGTGCCTGCTCGCTGTGATTTATCTTCTCCGGCTGTCTATGTAGTCAGCGCGTCCACACGCTGTTAGTGCAGGCTGTGCGACTTAAAACTCCTGCCTGGGTTTGCAGCGTCAGGGCCCGGGTGGACGCAAGGCTGGCCACCATGCCCACTGAGCATGCGCAGGCCTCTTAGCGAGCGAGCGGCTGAAAGGAAGGAATGAGGAGAGAGGAGAAAGAGGGAAGGAGAAGATTAAAAAGAGAACAATATTTAGGTTCAGTCCCAAAATGACAGACTGATTCTCAGTGTTGAGATCAGATGGGAACGCACTCCTGCTGTACTAGAATGTGATTAATAAATTCACCCATTCATTCAAGAATAGAAACTGTTCTGTTTCAGCTTCCCTTCTAAAGGATAAGGATGTGTACCCGGTTTTTATTAAACATATATTCACTGGGATCCTGTAGTGTACCAGATACTGATCAGATCATTGGAAAGAAAAACATAATAACGAGATGTATTTGGCTTCAAGGCATCCAGAGTCACAAGAAGAGAAACTGCTCGTGACCAGTTCCGTGCCAGAGCTCACTGTTGACATGAGGCAGGGAATTGGCTCCCACAATGCACATGGGGGATCTGAACGTTATGGCAAAGACAGAGGATGAAGGCAGGATGGAGCATCTGCAGCCCTCCTGGGCCTCGAAGGAGTGTTCTCATGACCCCAGCATTGCTAAGCGTTTCCTGCATTCACTGGGTCCTTAGCAGGACGGCAGGTGGACAGCACCAAAGCCCAGCACTGATCCATATGTCCTGGAGAACCTGAGAGTTTGCTCAGAAAGTTAGTCTGGAACCAAAATGTATGCAGACTGGTGGTGGTAGGGACCTGATGGCTAAGACTTCAAGAGAAATGAAGTGCAGGACTCTGTGAGGCCAAGCAGCGTGCATTTCCCAGGAGTTGTGAGAAGGCGGGGCAGGTGGTCGGCCTGTGTCCACACCTGAATCTCAGAGTCAGGGGCTTCCAGGGGAGATGGGCTTGGATAATTAATGAGGAGGTTGAGGAGGTGGCTTTCTTTCACAAAGCAGGGGTGGGGGTGGGGTCATTGTCTGCATACAAAGACAATGGTAACATCTGTATTTTAGAAGAACTGCTCTGGCGCCCGTGTGGGAGGAATGTGCAGAGGTAAAACCAGCCAGTCTTTGGGGCCCATCGCACCGCTGAACCACTTAACCTGACACACCTCGACACAGGATGTGATTCCTGGCTTCAAGTGGAAGACCGAGCCCAGGGAGGCAAAGTTTCCAAAGCAGTACATTGTTTGGAAGTGAGGGGGCAGGGGTGGGAGCCCGGTCTGATCCCAGCATTTGTGTAGAATGCAGCAGCCTTACCATCTGGAGTGCCTGGTGTGGAGGGCACCGTCCTCCCTTTGCCCCCCACCCACCCAGTGCAGGTGCGTGGCAGGACCTGGGGTTCAGTGCAGGCGATTTCCTGACCAAGACTGTGCGTCCACTTATAAGATAATAAAAAGTCAGCTCAGATCCAGAAGAGACATTTGGAGTTCCTGATGGGGCAGGTAAAAAGAGGACAGAGGAAAAACAGAGATTAAGGGGAAAAACAGTAGTGACAAGGAAAAGCATCTCCTGTGAAAAGTGGTGTTTTCAGTGGCAAGTAAGAATAAAGGCAAAATTTTTTAAAAAAGCAAAATATGAAGTTTGGGTGAGCTGTGTTCTCCTGGGGGCATAAGCGTGGCAAACTGCATGGCTCAGCTGCACAGGGTGAAGACCAGAGTGAGTGAGGGGACAGAAACGGAAATGGCGTTGTGGCTACATCCCCGAAGCCTGGCCACAGGAGTCTCAGGTGAGGAGGCCAGGGGTAGGAGTGAGGCCAACTGTGGAGCAGACCCCAGAGGCATAGCCATCTGCAGGACAGACAGCTCCCTGCTGGAGACACAGCAGCCTCCTGCAGGCCACAAGCATCACCTGAAGGACACACAGCCCAGTGATTTCAGTCCCAAGTGATCTACCTGCCTGGGCAGGAGCGCCTGTCCAGAGGGGGGCCCTGGGAAGGGGAAGTGAAGCGCTTGCTTTCTGGCCAGTCTGGAGCCATGTCATGGGTGGGGCAAGTCACCCAGCAAGGGCCGATAGGAGAGTCGGGCCTGCGAGTTCCTGAGTTAAAAATGACCCCAAAATGATCACAAGCCAGGGGAGGAAGTCAAAACTTTTAAGTAACTCTGATAAACATTGATAAAAAATGGGAAATGTCATTTTCATTGACTGCATAAGATACTTTACTTTCACTGACTACTTGTAATGGACAATTTAAAATTATGTGGAAAGAAAGAGAAACACAGAGTCATCCTCCGTGTGGACTTGTTCCGTTTAACGAGGGAAATGCTTTATCTTGACAGAAAATTGCATGTCAGACATTTACAGTTTCCTTAAAACAAGCCACACTATCTAGCACTTCCGTTCCTGAAACCCCGTGGCTTAGGGGAAAGTGGCTGTTTATTTTTGGACATGGTGTATTTCTCCTTTTTCATGGAGCATGCTATCTGCCTTTTGAAAAGTCATAATTTCTGTACAAAGTTTGTGTGAATAGTGGAGAGCTGAACTAATGATAAAGTGAAAAATAATGCAGTCCTTGACCTCTCCCACGAACTATTTCTAGGCCACATCTTTTTGGGAAGATTTGAAATTCTGTGGTTAATTCTCATTTGGAATTAGGGTTTCCACTTCAGAAAGGAGTTGAGCTCTCTTTCCCTTGGCCCCAGGGGCCTGGGCATTTCCGGGTGCGGCCATAGAAGCGGCTACTCCCTGGGTGTCTACCCTGCCCTGAGCAGACCCTCTGGGGTTTCCTCGCAAAAGCGAAGAGGCACAGGTAGTTTGACCTGAGTCCCGCTGGATTGTTCCAGGCCTCGTCAGCTCTCAAGTCTGATACAGTAGACATTTCCTAGACCAGGACAAGGTGGGAGATGTGTGGACATTCATCAGGGACAAGCTCTACCCCTCACCGTACACCCAGCAACTCCCACCTTGCCCTGAGAGGAAATAGAAAAATTCTCAACATATGTGCATCTGACTTCCTACAGTGAAGCCTTCCTAAAGCCTTCTTCTTCCTTTTTTTCTTCTGTTTAAGAAGAAAAGAATCTGTA